GAACATCATTGTCTCATTCTGAGGCTAAGGCGACGTAGGCTTCTCTCTGTTACCCTCTAAAGGAGGGGGGTTTAGGGATCAAGAGGAGTCAGGACTGGAATAGGGCTACTATTTCTAAGCATGTATGGAGGCTTCTTACGAATCATTCCTCTATCTGGTCCTCCTGGGTTCACTCGGTCCTTCTGGTGTATCTGGGTCACTTCCAGGGCTTCTTGGTCTTGGACGAAGATTCTGTCCAGCCAGAATTGGTGCCGAGGACTCTTTGTTACACGTATTGGTGATGGAGGAGATACCTCGCTTCGACAGGATTATTGGTTGCTGCAGGGGCCTTTGTGTGACCTATTTTCTTTTCAGACGCTTTCCACCACGGGTTTACCTTGGGACACAAAAGTGCAAATATCATTGTGGATGGCTCCTAGGGTTTTCCATCAAGTATTTCACCGCTTCGGTAGATTTGGGACTCAATTACTTTACGTCTGTGGGTAGGAGTTCTTGATCATTATGTTTGGAGAGGCCACCCTTCGGGTAGGTTCTCTGTTGACTTAGCTTGTAATATATTTTTGGATAAGCAGGAGGAGAATACCACTCATCATCTCCGGTGGTTTCCGGGCATATCCAAATGAATCTTTTATCTTGTGGTTAGTGTGTTCAAAACTGGTTAACCGGTCCAAACACCCTTGTTTTTTTAATCGATTCGGTTTTTTGGTTCAGGGAAATTTTTAAACTGAAATCAAACCAATTTAGGGTCGAAACTGGTTTTGAACTGAACCAATAATATGGTTAATTGGTAGATTTTATAAAAAAAATCAAAACTAAAACTTTATTATTTTCTTATTTTGGTAGAAACACGAGAGATTCTTATTCTAAATAATAAAAACTTTTTGCTATTCACTTCGAAAAAAGAAAAACTTTTTTTCGAGGCATTCCATTTTCTCAGCAACCAAACAACAATGCAAACTTAAAAACTAGAAAGAACTCAACCATACAAAATGTGAAGCAGGAGGTGAGTCAAAGAAAAGTCAACAGATATAACGAAAAAGAGAAAACGAATCAGCATGAGGCTTCATGGATTTGTAGAACAAAGATCAGTGGCCGAAACAGCCTCAAGTAAAGTGATACAAGAACACAAGTTAGAGAGATAACAGATGAAGTGTTGTTTTGTAGCACAACTTGTAAACATGTTCTTCAAGTTCGATGCTAATGAGGAAACAAAAACTGAACTAAACTAAGAATCAAGAAAGAATTGTTTGGAGAGGAATAAAGTACAGTCCAGAAATTGAAATGGAAGATTAGATTTTTACGGGGAGGGATGGAGTTAAGTTTAAAATAAAGAAAATAAAAATGAAGGAGAAAGACTCAGTAAGTCTAGGGCTGCAAACGAACGAAACAGTTCGCGAATATTCGTTATTCGTTCGATTAGTGTTTGATAATGTTCGCAAACAGTTCGATATTTATTCGATAATATGTTTGATCGAGTTCAAACAGGAGTCGTTCGTTCGATTATGTTCGCGAACACTATACGTTCGACTAATCCATCCGTTCGCGAACAATCGTTCGATTGTTCGTTCATTTATGTTCGAAAAAAATGTTATGCATTATTATAATTAAATTTTTTTTTCATTTTTATATTATGTTTGATTTAATTTGGATGAATTTTTNCTAAAACTCTCATGGCATGGCCGTCTTTCTCGTTGTTCTCACCACTTCAATGGACGGTCCTGCACATACACCACAACAAAAATTTTGGCATCTTCTAGCATGGTTAGTCCTCTTTGCCAATGTTCATTTTCTTTGGTATTAAAGGAATAACGGTGTCTTCAATCAAGAGCACAAATCTCGACAGGTATCATTGATAATGATACCTGTATTCTAGTTCGAGACACTGTTTTAAAAACTGGACCGTACCGGCTGGTCCAACCGGTTGGACAGTGAACCGGTCACGTGTCCGGTTCAAGTCACCCTCAAACCCGCTAATATACATTGAGCTGCTTTAAACCGATTGAAAACTAGATAATATGAGTGGTTGGACCGGCGGAAAAACCGGTCCACAATTTAAATCCCTAATACGCGACAATCTTCTTCTCTTTCACGCAGCCTTTTCTCATCTTCTTCTCTGTCATGCAACCCTTTCTCATCTTCTTCTCTTTTAGTCTTTCTCAGTTTTTCTCACGAAAATTTCTCAGCAAACACTCTGATCTCTACGAAAATTCTCACAGTTTCAACTATGTCTTCTGTTCTCTCTGAAATCCCACCCAAATCGCATCTGAACTCACCGGAAATCGACGATGACGTCTTCCTCCCTCGTCGGAAATCGACGACGTCTTCCTCCCTCGCTGGAAATCGACGGCGACAACTCCATTCGTCGATCCAGGTAACGCCATTCCTTGCTCCCTTTACATTTAAGTTAACACCCTTTACATTTTTCAATCTATAGAGCTGTTGTGGTTGTATTAACATGATCTTGATGATGGTTCTGCTTTGATTCAAGTATATTTGCACAAAAAAAGTGCATGGAATTTATTCCAATTTATATATGGTAAAAAATTATGAGGTCTATGTAAGTTTTAAAACCTTTATGTATACTTTTGTAGTTTGACTACTACAACGTAAATGATGGGAGTAAGAATTAAGTGAAAATTAACAAATATTCTCAAAAAATTAAAAAGTAGAATGTAATTGCAAGCTTGACTTATTGCAGTTTTACGATATTATTATAGGTGTTGGTATCTTTTAATTTCTGTAGAACCAGATATTGATGTTAAAAATCAGTCCTTGATTGATTCCACTATAGAAAGTTCAATGCTCTACCACTGATTGGATATAGAGTTTGCAATATTTTTTTGAAAATGCTGATACATGACCAAGAGTTTAAACAAAGATGAAAATTGCTTTGGTTGAGAGACTGTAGATGATTAAGTAATTGGATTAGCTAGTATAGATTTTTAGTCATAAAAAGCTTCCCTTAGCTGATAGTTGTTATGATAGTTTTTTTTTGCATTCTGAGGCTTGCTCCTGTTAGCATAAGCTCATGAAAGACTATCAAAAAGTAACTTGAAGGAAGAAGCATTAGGAGCCTAACTTCTGACTAGACCTTGCCTATGAATCTGCATTAGTGTCTTTTCAATCAGCAGGTTTTGGTGGGGCACTGAAATGTAACTATCTAATTTTCTTATTTGTTCAAATTTCAGAGTTAAAATTTGATGGTGAGTTCCATTCATATATAGTTTTGCAAAACCTGGTTAAATAAGATAGGATATCTGCAGATTGGGCTGGCATACTCCATTTTAAGTCATTCTTTCGTGGCTGCGGTTGTGAGCATAACTTTCTATCACATTCAAACCTAATAGTTGGTACTAGCATTGTAGTAATCATATTCTTTCGTGGCTGTGGTTGTGGCTATGGTTGTGAGTGACGACAAGTTTTGTTTTATGTTACATTTATATGCCATATAAAAACAATTAAAAATGTATTTTGTATTTGATTCTTTTGATTATACCAAAAAGTTTACTCACAGATGATCTTGAAAAAGATTAAAAATTGTTGGTTGCATTTATCTTGAGATTACACATCGGTGAACTTGCAATTGGTTGAGTGATAATTGTTGTTATTTCTTGTGTGATAGGTAGATAAAGATTAAAAATAGACAATGGCAACATCTGGCTCTGGGTCTTCTTCACAATCTAGTAGAGGTAGGACTGATATGGTGATGAATTTTGATGCTAGTGTGTGAAGCTCAATCAACATGGAGACAGATCAAAGAAAAAACATTTGCATCAAATGTTTTGTTATTAATTATTATGTATTTTGTCATTTGATATGTAAATACAACGTCATATTTGGATTTAGACTTTGAATTGTTGTTAAATACTTAAATTATGTTAGGATTGTTGTTGAATTTGAACTTTGAGTCATGTTGGACAGTAATTAAATTGTTATTGTCTTATTGAAAAATAGAAATCTAAAAAAAAAATTGTTTTTTTTAAATATGCCGACGTCATTATGATGTCACCGATCCAACCGACGGTCTAAGCGGTCCAACCGGTTGAACCGTGACGCGGCCATCATAACAGGTTGCCCTCCGGTCTGGTTTTTAATACAATGGTTCGAGATAGCCTTTGTGACTTAGCTCTTAAGTATGAGGTCCTCTCTCAACTTAGAACCATCAAGAACATGCTAGCAATTGCAGGTGGATTGATTTTAGTCACCCGATTTAACCACTAGTCAGGTTGAACCAACGATTCAATACTATTTTGCCGGCTCAAAACTGGGTCAATTTTGGGTCAATGGCTGAAACCGGGTTTAGGTTGTCCTTAGACTAGAGACAAGGCCGATCGAATAAGCTGATTCGGTCTAGGTTTTAAAACCTTGGTTTTTACTTTAGAAATGTTATTTTGATTCATTGATTAATTGGACCAAATAGAAACTTAATATATGATCTAATTGATGATAAAAATTGACAGCGGTGTTCCAAATTTCTACGAAAGACAATTGTTTGTGCAAAAAAATATATATGAACCATTGAGAGATTTCAATGGTTGGAGCATAATTGGAAAATTGCACACACATACAATATATATGTATGACAATGGTAATCTTCGTAGAGGTATATATTGAATATAATTATTTCTCTTAACATTGAGAGATTGATTTGAATGCAAAAACAAAGATCATCTATATCTAGGCCAAATTAAAGAGAACTAAAAAAGTTCCAATAATCAAACAACACTTTTAGGTATGTTTAGAAAGGTGAGAAAGTAAAAGAACACAAAATAAGATGTTGCATAATGGATATTTTCAAAATTAATTAAANTAACATTGAGAGATTGATTTGAATGCAAAAACAAAGATCATCCATATCTAGGCCAAGTTAGAGAGAACTAAAAAAGTTCCAATAATCAAACAACACTTTTAGGTATGTTTAGAAAGGTGAGAAAGTAAAAGAACACAAAATAAGATGTTGCATAATGGATATTTTCAAAATTAATTAAAACAAAACGTAATAAAAACAATATAAGAACATTTCAACTTAATTCCTCCAAAACGCTGCGTATCAGAAACTGCCCAGTGACTGAATCCTTTAAGACAGTTCAAACAGTTTCTCTAGCAGCTGATTCATACAATTCTTCAAACAAAGGAATGGAATATGGCCTATCGCCTATAATAAAATACTTCTAAAGTATCATTATAATGTAATTATCTAAAACAAAAATGGAAGAAGTTATAAGTTATACCACCTAATCAAATTTTACACCACAAGCACAACTGCTCATTTGCTTTTCTTATCAGCTTGTTTTTGTGGTCAATTGGTTTTCTTCTCTTCCTCCTTCCTAACAGTGACATCTGTTTCTGAACCATCAGAAGGCTTATCGTCCTCACCACCAAAACCAAATTCATTTACACGTGATCTGTCCACTGGATAAACCCACCTTTGGTATAGATATATCAAAAATATAAGATCTGCAAGACAGGACACAGAAAAGGCCAAATTACGATCACAAAAGATGGAACAATTAATGATATAATTTCCATGTTAGCTTTCACAATATTGCAATCATAGAAGGGAATTTTATGGTAATGAATGGCAAATATGTGGCATACTAGGGGTGGGAAATTCTAAGCACTAAAAACACATCAAGAGACACCAAAGAAACTAGTAAACCTGCCCTTTGGAGGACAAAGTGGATTGCCAGTATGGTAGATATAGAAGATATAATTAAAGAGCATGTACCTCCAATTCTCCATAAGAAGGATTACACAAATTAAAACCAAATTATGGTAAAAGAACAAAAAAATAAATATAAACCTTTGCAGATTAAAAATGACGGTTCCTCTTGAACTTCCAATACTCCAATAGGATAATCACTGAGACCCAACGTGGACCGGCTAATCAGACAGCAAACATTGAAGAGAGAAGACTAGCAAGTACCCATTACTGCAAAGTCATGCTCTGGAACAATTGGAGTGACCCGGAAGTAGTCCTAACCTCCGACATTTACATAAACTCTCTCATTTTATTTTCCATGAAGTGCCCCTTCTCACCATATGCACAATTTGCACAGGGAAACCCAAGCCTTTGCCATTGCAATAGAATGTGACTGGAAAATAAGTGGAAAACAGAAAAAGCCTGTACTGACACCTATTTTCTTAAAACACCAGCAGCTTTTATATCCACAAGAAATGGCATAATTGCCACAAAAAAGTATCAAAGGTTACCACCAGGCTTTATATACCACTGCCTCCCTATTCAAGATATTGAACATCTGAGAACTGTTACTCAAAGCATCTTCAAAGTAGTCTAAGGTGAACACTAAACCCCTCCCCATATGAAATGAAACAAAAAGAGAAAACTCAGGATGTACTGTTACTGCATAAATGCAGCTTCAAAATTGTGGGTCTCTTTACTAATTTCCTCTAAGCTAGTTTATTGATAATGCCAAAAACCAGGACTCTGACCAAGTCACCATATGAACATGGTATTGCAAAATAAAATTGACTCAATTCTATATGCAGCATACAATACCCTCAGCGGCAAGGATCAAAGCATTTACATTCCTAAGCCTTGTTTAGACAGAATATTTAATGGTTTAAGAACAAAAAGGAAAATTGCACTGTTATAACTCACCATCACGGAAGACAGAAAGCCGATGTAGCATTGGCATTTTTATGACAAAGGCAAAGAGATCATCAATGATGGTGTTCAGGAACTTGTATGTCATTTGTCTCCAGGGTAGGTGAGCCACAGACTTAAGCTTATAATTAATGAACAGTTGGGGGCACATCATAATGAAACCTGCAGCAAAACAAGATGTAGAATTCAGAGGGGTGCAAAATTGCCAATTCTACAAGAAAAAGAGATCATATATGGCAAGTAAGCATAAAAAAATCTTAACGGAATTTCAAAATGATGAGAACTTAGGAAGAAGAGCAATAATATCAGAAGTGCAAGATAAGAGGATGAAAAGGTAGCTCACCAAACATGTACACACAGCTTGTGAATGAGGAAAGAATCCAAGAATACCAGCTCCTATGTCGCTCATACATAAGTGAATAGATAGAGGAACAAATAACAAGGAAGAAAAGCACACCGGACAAATATTTCATTGCCAGATCATCATATTCCTTAGTCTTATTCCCTGCATATGACTCACGATCTCGGAACCTCAACATAGGTATCTTTCCACTTCTATCAATCTGGACACCAAGGTAAAAAGTGTTACAAAAGTATCCTTCCTTTATTAGTTTATGTTGCTAAGATATTAGCTAAGCAGTTACAGCAAGTCCGGAACATGACAAGATGATACACACACATGGTTTTGTATTGTATAATCTAAAAAAATGCGATGCAGATTTATAGATGACAAACACATGGAAACAAAAGAAAAGTATTGCATAATTCAATGCATTAAAATTCATTTTGCTCCGATATTACCCAAGTATTTACAGCATACAAGCAGCAAAAGCAATCAAATATAATGAGATGAAACACACAATATGCCATGTATGCACATCTAGAATAGTGTCAGATGGATAAACAGATAACAACACAGTTTTATTTTTGCACATGTCCACAAGGGTGTCGTAGGAGAAATGTCAATAATGCAGTATCTCAAACATGAGCAGATGGTACATACTATATTCCATGCATAAGTCAGACTCATAATATAAGCAGATGCCAAAAACAAAGTGTGTCAAAACAACTTGACATATTTATGCAAATATCTAGCATAAGAAATAATGGACTAGTATAGTTGAATACTCATAAAACGAGGTGACTGAGAAGAAAAAGAATAACACACATATTGTAGAGAGCTTGTTTACTACTTTGTAAGTACTTTTTCAATTTATAAAACACTTTTTTTTCCTCAATTTCTTATTATAAAAAAGAAGAAGCTGCAATACAATCCACATAACCATAAAACATTGCACACACACAGACAAACACATTAAAGCTTATACATACACAATTTTTTTTAATAAAAATAAATAATTTATGTACATTTCCTTCACAAGAAAAAAAAATCTATACAAAAATAAAATTTACCTGCAGCCTAATTTTCACATAATCTTATACTTGAATAAAAAATTTGATACCTCTATGTGCATAGCTTTTCCTATTTTCCAAAACTCAATGCAGCAACCAACTCCAGAACTTGCAAGTATCATCCAGGATGTGTCATTGTCAAGTAGATATAGGAAGACAATGAGCTGACATATAAAGTTCACAATGACAGATTTTGCAGAGAGTCCTTCCATAGACTTATTTTTATTCCAAAATTGGATATCTGCAAAGGAAATTATTAAATTAATAGCTCACAGAACGGTTCACAAAATCTACACAGACCCTTAATGAATAGAAATAAAACAGTGTCCGTTAAAAGAGTCAAATATACCATTCTTGAATGCCAAGAAGTCAAACACAGAATGAAGCAATGAAACAACCATCGTGATCACCAGGAGGTAAGGATTTCCTTCTAAGAACACCCTCTGAAAAATTACCAAAATTATTAATTTATCAGCAAGAACTAACAACCTGGCCGCACTTGGATCAGTAACAGAAAATTTGTATTCTTTCCCCTTTTCATTCTAAGAGATGAAAAAATCTATAATTTCTAGAAATAAGCATGAGCATATATTTCTTGATAAAGGCACGGGATGTCTATTTGCTTGCTGAAGAGGCACAAAAACAAAACAATTATCAATGATTCAGGCACAGGTTGTAGATTTGCTTGTACAAGTATGTGGAACTTTAGTAAAAACATTCATATAGAAGTGATGGATAATCTACGTTTTAGAACATGGTAGTTAAATGAGAAAGTAATCTGTTTCAGGACTTCATTTTAATTAGGTTTACCAGTGAGGATCTTTAGGTTTTTCGCCTTGCTATATATATATATGAATTGAGTTATTTTGAGATTTTAAACTGATAACTGATGAATATGGAATATTGGAATTTGCTCCTATTCTCTTAGGTTTATTTCCTAGAGAAAACCAATGTCCTTCCAGTAACAGGGGCAGCTCCCATAAAAATTTATAGTTCAACACATCTTCAAGTCAATTATAAATTTCATAAGCTGAATTTCAATCAAAAAGTAGTTCAAAGTTTATTGCAAAGAATTAGAGGGTTGCCCAAGGGGAAAATACCATAACTGATAATTGTAGAGGATTAGCAAAAGATCGGGTGGTTGGAAGACATATTTTTAATAGGGGGAAGGCTAACTTCAGTAAAAACAGTTCTTGAAAGTATTGCTACCAAGTATTTTTGTTTTAAATCTCAAAGAAAGTGTTTAGTAGAATTTGAAAGATAATGAGAAATTTTCTTTCGGAAGGGAGTGAGAAGGCAAAGGTAATCAGTTAGTAAATTTGATGAATGATTCTCTATCTAAACGAAAACGGGGTTTGGCTTTGAGGAATCTTGATGTGATGAATAATCCTTTCCTATAAACTTCAGAGATTTCTTTCAGAGCAGAATTTCTTCTACCATGATGTAGTAACAAGCATATGTAGACTGCATGAAAATAGTCAGAATTTTTCACTGGCTGGAAGAGCAGTTTACATATGTCCTTGAAACACTATTTCGCAAGGACACCATGACTTCTCTACACCAACTTGGTCTTGGTAAGGATGAAAGAAACAATTTTGGAAAACAAGCTTTGGAAGTAATGATCCAGTCATGTTATGTTTTCCTAGACTAAATCAAAAGTATAATCCCAAGAACTGGGTCTATAAACGATCTCGTTGTGTCTTCCTCCCTAAATTTTATTGACAAAAGCTTTTTATTTTTGATGGTAGAGAGGTAGAGAAATTCTCTTACCCTAAAGCTTTTATTTTGAGATCTCTGATTCCACCACGAGTTAAATCTTTTTTGTTTAGACTTAGGTTCATGGAAAATTGAGCACCAATAATTTGCTTCAAAGGTGGCAAAACTTTCCTTTTTCCAAAATCTTCCGTGAAAAGAAGATTAATGCATCATTTAATTTAGAATATGCTTTGGCTTATGGGTTTTGAAGTGATTGTTATACTATTGGAGGTGGTTCAGGTTTTATGTCAGTTAGCTATTATATTTTCACCATATATGTTGGATGATTTGACCAGACAAAAAAGGTAGAAGTTTATAGAGATGTACAAACAAAAGTATTGTCAATGTTCATTTGGACTGATTTTTTTAAATAAATAAAAAAACAATAGAAAGGGTTGAAAATACCTTGGAGGAGAGATTTGATTCCCATCGTGGGTCTCATTTTCAGTGTTTTCTAAGGTATTTCTAGAATCTCTATCTTTGAGATTTCAAGAGTGATGTTTAGGACTGATTCTGTTCTTTTCCTAATGCGTTTTATTGTTCTTTAATATAAGTTATATTCTGTGAGCACAGGATGACTCCTGCTCCTTCTTTCATTAAGGTTTTAACTTTTCCTCTACTTTTGATAATAAATAAATAAATTGTTATCTTATAAAATATCTAACTGCAGAGAAGATTAGTGTTACCTTCAGTTCATCAGCCTCGCCTTCAATCATGCTTCCATAACTACGATGAACCTGAAATGACTGATCAATTTGCAGGAATAGTTGCCACTTTGTCATGCTTATGGGACCCACCTCCAGATTAAGTGGCAATTCAGTCACTGTGTCATTGAGTGGGATCAACTTATCTCTAAGTAACCAAAACTCATTGAAAAAAATGGTTGGAAAGTAATTCCCTGTACTCGGTTCAACATTCAAGTCTGCAATCTGAAGTCAAGAAACTCAAAGGTACAACTGAGATATCATATACTCCCCAGAAAATATAAAGACAGATTACCAGAAGCGTTGACCCCTGATATCTTTGATGACATTCCTACGTACATTTAAAAACATCATATAAAGCCAAACAACAGTTGACCTTCTAATCAGCAAAGAAAGATTTCCAGCATTGACACATTCATGCCTGACTATACACATATGTTAGTTTTGGAAGTTGTTCAACTGCTAAGAATCCACATGCTGGTGATATAACAATCATAGTAAACTTAACTAGAATCAATTTACAACAAATTGATTACTTTGGCAAGTACTCATAACCATAGAACTCCTAAGCATAGACTTGACTACAATAATACTGAAACTTGACATCCTTCACCATAAGAAAGCTATTTTGAAAATTACTGCAACTCTCTAAGCGGCTTGAGAGAAGAGCAAAATGAGTTGGAATTTGTACACAACACAACTACCCCCCACATAGTTTAAAGTCAGTGTTTAAAGTCACACCTCAAGCTCCGTCAGGAAGGTGAAAGCAACAATATCTTTCTCTAAAAGACTACCAATTGAAACAAGGGACAAAATTAAGTAATTCTAGCTGTGTTAAAAGTTTTGCTCAAATCTTTTATCCCCAAATCAGTATCAGCTGATAAAAAAACAAAAAATAATAATAATAATAATAATAAAATGACTCTGTAAGCTGCCAAATGGTAACCAAAAAAATTTTTATGGCTAATAATCACCCAACCTTTTAATTTCCTAAGTCATTTCCACTATTTTTGGGCAAGGATATCAATCTCAACTCTCAAGAAAAAAATGCTTTCAAAATGCTGTCAATTCATGGATCCCTAGCCTCAATCACATTTAACTGTCTGCTGTCTAATAAAATCAAGTTTCTTTTCAATAAAGTTGTCTGTGCATTTACCCGAGAAAGTAACACAAAGTGGACCTACAGTTATAAACTAACTTAAAATCCAGTGAAACTATATATTTATCAGTATGTGGAATAATCACAGAGGTGTTTCTTCAAACGTAGAGGCAGTAAGCACAGAATTATTTCAACACACAATCCCCTCAACACTAATGCAATTTTTGTGATAAATTTGTGACATTTAACAAATGGTGGACCACATGAAAAGATACACATAAACAATGTGCTCCATTGCATGCTTTGAAGACAAGTTCCATTCATTGTGCAAGTTCTGGATGGTGTTTGACACTGAAAAAAATGCTTCTAGAGATAAACTAAAATGAAAATAATAATTATTAGGGTACAAAGTATGCATGTATGTTCATGGAATGCATACCTAGTGAACGTGTCAGACAGGGGATGAGCAAGAGAAGGAAAGGAAACCGACTATGTTTGTCAAGTTTTAAAGCCGCATAGGATGTAATAAAACAACAAGCTTCTTCCAAAAACTCCAAACATGACAAGGAAATTGACAAGCTGATGTAACTTTTTCCAGTAACAAGTAGATGTAATTGACAAAATCAAAAATAATTAAAGGATACAAGGAGCAATGTTTGGTGGTACAGCATTGGATGAGTATCTGCAAAGAACTATCAAGAATTAGGACATTTGCCAAAACCTTTGTAACAAGGAAAAGAAAAAGAAAACCAAATGGAAGCATGCAGCAGGGCAGATAACCTAGAAAAGATATACTACACACGCAATTTAACACAAGGAGAATATACAGTAACCATAATGAAGATATCACATCGTCACTAATATAGTCAATGGCCCCTTTTAATTTTTATTTGATATAATGAGAAAGGGAGACATCAATTTCCAAAACATTTTTTACCAGCATCTAGACAGAGTGACAGATACACAGAAATATCCAAATGGTAATTTCCATTACTTTAATTATACTCAAATGCTATTTATGCATTCAATTTCTTAAAATCCATATATTCATATAAAACAAAAGATGCCTAAACCACTGACCACATACGCTATTTTCAACAGCACAAATCGGCAAACAAACAGAAAATTGATCTCAGAGAACCAGTGGGAAATATCTTACTGTAGCAATATAAACAGAAATTTCTATGCATCAATGGAAAAATAAACTAATAAGGGAAGGATGTTACTCTAAGGAAACAACACAACTAAAATAAAACAATAGTTTACCAAACTGATATCTATACATAAATACATGCACAAAAAACAAGAAGCAAAATGTCACTCTTAAGAGAACAAATATTCAGGCCAAAGCAAGATCTCTAAATAAGTTAAAAGAATGTGGTTACAAGCTAATACCTATAAGTATGGAGTAGGTCACAATGCATTGAGACCATAGAATGGTGTAAGTCTATAATAGTGTTCCCCGTTTTTATCCATAAAAGAAAAGCAAAAACATCATACAATTTTCCTAGAAGTTTAATAGGACTCTCTGTACATGTAAATTAATCTCATACAATGATGAAAAATTGTTGCACATACTTTGATTTCCAGTGACCAATATTGATCTAGACAAACAATCTTCGTCCACAAAAAAATTATATATAAAGAAGCTTTGTATATATGAAAAGATATGACATCATATAACTTTAAGATTTCAATATTGCAATTTTCATAGAATAGCTAAACACAGGGCAAACTTCAAGGGCCAATGGCTACATTTATGCCACATTATTGAGACTTCAATGAACATATTTCACATCTTTTTGCTTTATAAGAAATTATATATAGCACCTTTATAATAAACAAAAAAGATGCAGTTCAATTTATTCAACGTCAAAGTCAGGAGTTCTAATAGCTTAACTCAATACTCTAGCTTATACTAACAAAAATTTACATAATCTAGATGTTGCTAGTATACATACCGTGTGAAATCATCTACCAAATTAATCGTAACATTTGGTTTCCAATATGAAACCCATTCCACAGGACCATCATCTTTAGAATCACCTTCATGATCATCAACATCCTGAAGCAACAGGAATTTACATTAAGGTCACCATGGCCACATAAAATGAAAATTAAGAAAGAAAGAATCAAAGAAAAGAAAATGAATTACTTAGAAGACAATACACTCATGTAGTATCATTAATGCTGAATATGAATCATGAAGATTGTATACAGTACAAAAGTTTATCACATAGAAATCATCATTAAATGGTTAAGAATTCTAATGTTTAACAATGCTGACTTTATTGTTAATTAGTATCCTAAACAATTAAATGGTATGTTAGATCAAGAGAATACTCAAATATCAAAGAATTCTATATTGTGTTAGCATTGTACTCAATTTAGAATGTTATTTAGCTTTTTTTATTTTCATCTAAACAATTCAGTGCCCCATTTTCCAGCTTATAATGATATACCTTTGAACAAGACAATTCCATCTAGTTCAAAAACTGTCAACCATAAACTTCTAACACATAGAAGAAGATACCCCTTTGCAATTTGCATGACAATTTAATTATGCAAATTACTGGCCGCACACCGTACTTTGAACTATTTAAATAGTATTATGTTAATTAATGGGCCTTCCAAATGTATGCTAAATAGATCAATTGGAGAATTCAGTAGGCTTGATGATAAATAGAACTAAGATAGTAAACATACACAAATCATATTTTAGTTTCTGAAAGCTAAAGCTCATTTGTCATACATCACCTTGAAGTAGTTTATGGAAATAACTTGTAAGCAAGAACAAACCTTAATCAATGTTTCAGTCTTCTCAGAGTCACCCAGCAGACTCCTCCTTTTATCTGCTTTTGACTTGGGATAATAGACCACAACGGCTGAAATCAACAGAAGAAGAGATCTCTTAAATTACGCAATTTACCTCATCCTGCTATATTCCAACTAATGAAAAACAGATAATCTAATAAAGGTATAGACACAATCTTACGATGCGTCTTCCCAAAGGTAGCATCATGTTGATACTCAGGATCATTAGGGTCTGGAGGATATCCAGAGCGTGCAAAGAAAACATGCGCATAGAGGCTCCCATTGTGCTTCAAATCCTGAAAGTGGAAAAATTATCTTCATAATAACTAGTAGGAAGCAAAAGAAAACCAATAAAATAATTAAAAATAACTAAGATTATCATAATTAGATTACACAGCATTATGTAGCTACCAAAGTTGCACTCATAAATAGAAATATGCAATACACTAGAATACTATGCACTTAAAACATTAAAAGTTAAAAAGTTTGAGCTTCAGATTCAGACAGAAAGTACCTCAGTTGGATAGTACTTCGTAGAAAGAGTTCGGGTACTTTCTTTTCCCCAAACGGCATAAGGGATATTAGTTTCATGCCAAATAAGTGAGCCTTCATTACCAAAGTCATTGAACTTTTCATGTTCAGAAAGATATAACCACATATCCTGATAAAAGAAAAAAAAAAAAAAAAATAAATGACTATCAGATGATCAATGAAAATGAGTTCAGGAATAGAAAATTGCCACCATCAATTCATAACAACATATAGCACATGATCAACTCAACTGAAAGATCAATAGAACAATTAAGCATTCCTCATATCTAATCATATGTATATTCCTACCACGTTTAACTTTCATCTTCTGGTCTACCATGTTTCTCAACCATTTATCATATACATTCAAATGCCTTTGTGCACATAATTATCCAATGCTTATAATGTGAAGATGATGAGAAGAAAACAACCTCACTTGGGTTCAATTCAAATAATTATCTAGCCTGACCTATACAACCTAAGCCCATGTTTCTTATCCTAAGGTACAGAAAAAATCAATCTCCCACTCTCCTATGTTAAAAAGGAAATAGCCGAAAGAACAAAATCAATCAGCTCCAGCCCCATAACACAGATTCCCTTATTGAGAGGCCATCAACATCCAAAATCAACATCTAAATCTACTAAAATTTACCAAGCCCTATTCAAAAAGTATTCAGATGCAACTGCATACGCTACACAAAGAGAACAATTTCATAACTCCGACATCAAATAACCAGAAGTTCACTGTTAACTACAACTAAACCAGTCTTCAAGGAAAAAGATAAATTTGAACAATTCCTTGAAAGCATGAATTACATTAAATTTAGTTTTTTTAAATCTCTTTCCTACTCTACAAAACCTTTCACACTTCTTTCAAACTTTAACACAAGAAACCCTAACTTTTGGCTTATCACGATTTAAGCTAAAATCAATCATTCAGAAAGAAATTAAGCACGTACCAAGTATTCTCCTCTTTGGAAAAGATTGGTGGAGATGAGCTGAGGCTGGGAGGGATCGGTAGGTCGTTTAGGAGAGAAGAATTTGGAAGCGAAGTACCAGAAGACGGCAACTCTAATTATTCCGGTCACTGTTTGGCCGAACCCCGCTTGTTGCTGTCTCTGCGGCTGTCCTTCGCCATCACCTCCTCCTCCTACTGCCGGCGGCGCCATCGTCTTGTCTCAGCTCTATTGCAAACTGAGATTGAAACAAACTCGATGCGATCGAATGAAACAAGGGACGGGACTGGGAGTTGTTTATTTATTCTAAACCAAAAGTTCTTATTGTTGCAGAGACGGGTTCGGATTTAAGTAACAGTCGCGGCCACGCCAGCATTTCAAAAATATCAGGGTCCCAAAAGATATTTTTATTTTTAAATACAAGTTTTTAATGACACTTTCTTTTTCTATCGCTCAATTTAATTAACGTGGATATAAGATAAAAATTAAATAATAAGTAGCTACCTAAGTATATCTCCAAATGACTTTTATATGATCCAAATTCTTTATTATAAATAGTCTATTTATAAAAATAAGAGTTCAACATACTCTTTATCTTTAAAATATGAATTAGAAAGTTAGTTTGACTCTCTACATTTAGAGAATCAAATTTCACTCTCTATCCTAATTTTAATTAATAAACTACAAATTCTTATGCATTTTATTTATTAATTCTCTCTCTCATATGGTATTCTTTATTTTAAAGAGCATATTTCATATAAATAAATAGCATCTTCATTAATTTTTAAATATAAAGAACATAATTTTTATTCAAATCCAATAGACTCTTTAAATTTAATGAAAATGCTCTTTATTTTAAAAAAGAAACTTAATGGGAGAGAGAATTAATAAATAAAATGCATAGGAATTTGTAGTTTATTAATTAAAATTAAGATAGAGAGTGAAATTTGACTCTCTAAATGTGGAGAGTCAAACTCACTCTCTAATTTATATTTTAAAGATAAAGAGTATGTTGGAATCTTGTTTTTATGGATACACTCTTTATAATAAAGAGTTTGAGTTATATAAAGAGTCATTTGGAGATGCTTTGAGTCTCTTTCTTAAAAATAAAGAGCATCTTCATTAAATTTAAAGAGTATTGGATTTGAATAAAAATTGTGTTCTTTATGTTTAAAAATTAATGAAGATGCTCTTTATTTATATGAAAGATGCTTTTCAAAATAAAGAGCACTATTAGGGATGGGCACGGGCCAGGGAGGGGTCGAGCACCCTTGTCTCCAGCCCCAGCCCAAAAGCCTGGGCCGGGATCGGGGAATCCCCGAAAAAAGCATGTTCCACCCCCCCCCCCCCCCCGAATTCCCCGTTTGGGTTTTTTTTTTGTATTTTTGTATCTTTAGTTTTATAATTTTATTATTATTTTCTCCCAATTATATATACCAACAAAAAAAAATTAAATATATAATATACATATTAAACGTAAAGACCAAAAAAAAATTTAAATATATAATTAACAATTCTATTAGGGTAGGGCAAAATCCAGAAATTATACATATTAATATTTTTTTGTTCAAATGCCCACCCTCGAGTCCTCAACAAATGTTGGGTCCGCCGTTGATTAATGATTATGATGAATCAAAATATCAAAATCATAATTATAATACATTATACTTATATATAAATATATTATATATTGATAGTATAATATTATGTATTAAGTAATAAGTATGCATATATAATGTCTCTTTAATATATAATATAATGCATTATATATGATACATTAGACATATATATTATAATAAATTTAAATAAATAACTACCATATGTATTATAATAAATTCTAAATAAATAGCTATCACAATTCACAATATAACAAAGGTAATTAAGTAATAGAATTGAAAAAATGATTCAATGAGGGACAAAAAAAAAAAAAAAAAAAATATTGTGATTTATTGATTTATTATAATTAATCAAAACAATAAATAATATATTACATATATATTATGTATTAACGTAAGATTATAGATAATATCATACTATGTATAAATTATCATTTACAACATATATATGTTATATACATTATACTTGCATAGTATATATCATATATAATATACAATGTATAATGTCAAATTTATACCATATATAATGTATAATGTTAAATGTATAATATATAGTGTCGAATATATAACTTTTGTTTCATAGTATTAACATATTATGTATAATATATATAAATTACAAATATTTATAATGATTTATTATATTTAATCTAGTTTTATTTATTACGTATTTGTATATAGTTTAATAAAATACTTACACAATTATAATTTGTTATTGTATAATGTATAATTGATTTTCAAATATTAAAATTATTATAGGTATATATGATTGATTTTCAATTATTAAAATTAATATATTATATTATATATATATAAAATATACAGCGTCGGGGCAAAACCTATCCTGGCCCCGAATTCCAGGGGCCAATCTTAAGCTCGATCCTGGCTCAAAGCTCAAAAAATTCGGGGAAAATCTGCCCCTTTTGGGGCGAGTCCCCACGGGGCCGGGCTTTGTGCCCATTCCTAAGCATCATTGGAGATGCTCTAACAAACTCTTTATTATTTAAATATAAATTAAAGAGTGAGTTTGACTCTACACATTTAGAGAGTCAAATTTCATTCTCTATCCTAATTTTAATTAATAAACTACAAGTTTTTATATATTTTATTTATTAATTCTCTCTCCTATTAAGTTTTTTTTTTTTTTTAAATAAAGAATATCTTCATTAAATTTAAAGAGCTCATTGGATTTGAATAAAAAATTTATTCTTTATATTTAGAAACTAATGAAGTTTCTCTTTATTTATATGAAATATGTTCTTTATAATAAAGAGCACAATTGAAGATGCTCTAATATACAAACACAAGTTTACAAATTATTCAATAATTATTGAGCTTTCTTAATTCTTAGTAGTAAGCCTTATATAAGGGTGACTCTTATTGAGAATAAAACTGAGGAATTATTCAATTTCTTCTCTTTTGAGATTTCCTTTCTCCTGAGCAGATTTTTATTATTTACTTTATATTCTGAATTGGTGAGGAATCCTAACAATTTCAATGCATTACTCCTACCTTTTTTGTTTATATTTATAATTTATAATAGGGAGAACGACAATTTTTCACCCAAGGTTTGGCCAAACGACATTTACCCACCCAAAAAGTTCAAAATGACATTTTCTCACTCATTGTTAAGATCTGTCCGTTAATTTTAATTGAAGAATGATTGAATGGTAAATCACTCCAATGCCTATCTCAATTCCACCTCCACCACCAGCTCCATACCCTCCACTAATACCACTTGCTACTCCTCATCCAACACCACCACCTGCATTTACACTTCCACCAGCTCCAAACCCGCCACCATGACCTAAACCCCTACCGATTCCTCCTCCACCCTTGCCTCTAGCTACTTCTCCACCATCTATACATCCACCAACTCTACCTTTTACACCCCCACCCCCACCCCCACCAGCACCAAAGCCACCCCCATGTATAGATCCTACACCTAATCCTCCCCCACTACCATCACTTCCTCTTTCAACACCATCGCCAATACCTCTTCCAACATCAAAGCCTCCATCGTGGTTAGAACCACCACCAACTCCACATTTTCTTGCTTCTACTCCACCACCACCACCACTAACAATACCACCTCCAACCCTGCCACTAACACTGCCCCCAACTCTAACGCCTCCACCTATACTTGTACAACGTCCAACGCCTCCTCCTCCACCACCAAAGCCTCCACCTCCACCTCCACTTACTATTCCGACTCCAATTTACCAATTTTTTTGCAACAAAAATACCCCATCCCAATCCCCCTTTCATAAACAATTTTCTTTCCCAACAGCCAAATCTCTAACAACTTACCAAATCAAACATTTAACCATTTTCAAACTCTCCAAAATGTCAAAACACAACTTAAAATTCATAGGATCTATTACCCCAAAAGTGAAGAAATGAATCATAAGAAATATGTATTAAAAAATTGGTGGTTGGCCAAATCGAGAGACCACGATCTGACCGCCACTTAGCCACATCACATCGATATGATCCAGACAATCGGCAGCCAAATCATGACCACCATGATCTAGGCAAAAGACGGCTACATCGGGCTGCCAAAGTTTGGGCAAATAGGGTCTTGGAGAATGGAAGGGAGAGAGAAAGAGAATGAGGATAAAAAGGGAGCAGGAGAAGAAAGAAAATATGTGAAGAGGAAGAAAATAGAAAGAGAAGAGAGGTGGTGATGGAGAAAGAAGAAAAGAGAAGATTTGGGCAAGAGGCGGCAAGATCGAGCTACCACAATTTTGGCAAATAGGGTCTTGGAGAAAGGAAAGGGGAGAGAAAGAGAAGGAGGAGAAAAAAAGAGAAAGAGAAGAAAGAAGAAATGTGAAAAAGAAGAGAAGAGAAGGAGAATAGAGGGGCGAAGGAGAAAAAGAAGAGAGAAATGTATTTTCGTCTTTACAGTGTTTATACCTTGTCAGTTAACAAATTTTACTAATGGATCTTTACGATAGGTGGGAAAGTGTCATTTTGAAACTTTTCAAGTGTGAAACTATTGTTTGGCTAAACCTTGGGTGGGAAATTGTCGTTCTCCCTTTATAATAATATATAGTTAAACCTCAATAAGTTAATACTCAATAAATTAATAACCACAATTAAATAATATCTTTGGCCGGTCCTGACTTGGGACCAATGTGGTAAATTAATAATTCGCTATATTTATAAGTGAATACATTTAAAAAAAAATACATAGGTACCACTTGATGTATAAATTAATAAATCTTCTTATACATCAAAATCTATATATATATATATATATATATATATATATATATATAATCCTAAAGCATAGCCTAATTGATTGACACATAGGATTTTCAAAGCTCTAGAATTACTCCATTTTGTCATCCAAAAGCTCTAGAATTGCTCCATTTTGACATGTTGGATGTGTGGTTAACACATGGCTGCATGTGATTGGTGATGAAGTTGTGTTTGATATATTTTAGTATTAATTAATAGCAGATATTGGGCATCCAAAGTTCTAACTAAAACTTGATTAATTTCATATAAACATAGATGCTTCACATTCACATACAAATGCTTCAAATTGGCTAAAAGAGGATTCGTCGTTGTTTCTACCTTTGTTTCTCCACATTTGAACTAAATCAGAGAGCCGTAAGTTTTCTCTATTTCTCTTTGCTTTTTTTCTTATTTTTCTTGGTTTTTATTCATATTGAAAGCTAGGGTTTCTTCGATAAATGAGTTGATCTAATTGAATTAGATGCATAGTTATCGCGATG